TTTCACCAACATCAACGTGGGATGGCCGGGAAAGGTGCATGACGCTCGCATCTTCAGGAACTCTGGTCTGTTTCAAAAGCTGCAGGAAGGGACTTTATTCCCAGACCAGAAAATAACTGTTGGGGATGTTGAAATGCCTATATGTATCCTTGGGGACCCAGCCTACCCCTTAATGCCATGGCTCATGAAGCCGTACACAGGCAGCCTGGACAGTGGTCAGGAGCTGTTCAACTACAGGCTGAGCAAGTGCAGAATGGTGGTAGAATGTGCATTTGGACGTTTAAAGGCGCGCTGGCGCAGTTTACTGACTCGCTTAGACCTCAGCGAAACCAATATTCCCACTGTTATTACTGCTTGCTGTGTGCTCCACAATATCTGTGAGAGTAAGGGGGGAGACGTTTATGGCGGGGTGGGAGGTTGAGGCAAATCGCCTGGCTGCTGGTTACGCGCAGCCAGACACCAGGGCGGTTAGAAGAGCACAGGAGGGCGCGGTACGCATCAGAGAAGCTTTGAAAAACAGTTTCATGACTGGCCAGGCTACGGTGTAAAAGTTCTGTTTGTTTCTCCTTGATGAACCCCCCCGCCCCTTGGTTCACTCTACTTCCCTGTAAGCTAACCACCCTCCCCTCCTCCCTTTAATCATTGCTTGCAGAGCCAATAAAGTCATTGCTGCTTCACAGTCATGCATTCGTTATTCATTCATCACACAAATAGGGGGATGACTACCAAGGTATCCCAGGAGGGGTGGTGGAGGAGGGAAGGAAAATGCCACACAGCACTTTAAGCACAGCACTTTAAAAGTTTACAACTTTAAAATTTATTGAATGACAGCCTTCTTTTTTTTGGGCAATCCTCTGTGGGGGAGTGGCTGGTTGGCCGGAGGCCTCCCCACCGTGTTCTTGGGCGTCTGGGTGTGGAGGCTATGGAACTTGGGGAGGAGGGCGGTTGGTTACAGAGGGGCTGCAGTGGCAGTCTGTGCTCCAGCTGCCTTTGCTGCAGCTCAACCATACACTGGAGCATACTGGTTTGGTCCTGCAGCAGCCTCAGCATTGAATCCTGCCTCCTCTCATCACGCTGCCGCCACCTTTGAGCTTCAGCCCTGTCTTCAGCCCGCCACTTACTCTCTTCAGCCCGCCACTTATTCTCTTCAGCCCTCCACCTCTCCTCCCGGTCATTTTGTGCTTTCCTGCACTCTGACATTATTTGCCTCCACGCATTCGTCTGTGCTCTGTCAGTGTGGGAGGACAGCATGAGCTCGGAGAACATTTCATCGCGAGTGCGTTTTTTTTTCTTTCTAAGCTTCACTAGCCTCTGGGAAGGAGAAGATCCTGTGATCATTGAAACACATGCAGCTGGTGGAGAAAAAAAAAAGGGACAGCGGTATTTAAAAAGACACATTTTATAAAACAGTGGCTACACTCTTTCAGGGTAAACCTTGAAAGTTAACATTACATACATAGCACATGTGCTTTCGTTACAAGGTCGCATTTTGCCTCCTCCCACCGCGTGAACGGATTTTGGTTGAATGCCAGCAAACATACACTGCAATGCTTTGTTCTACAGTGATTCCCCAGTACGTGTTGCTGGCCTGGAGTGGTAAAGTGTCCTACCATGAAGGACGAAATAAGGCTGCCCTCCCCAGAAACCTTTTGCAAAGGCAGAACCGCAAATGCCAGGGCAAAGTAATCCTTTCACATGCTTGCTTTTAAACCATGTATAGCATTTTAAAAGGTACACTCACCAGAGGTCCCTTCTCCGCCTGCTGAGTCCAGGAGGCAGCCTTGGGTGGGTTCGGGGGTACTGGCTCCAGGTCTAGGGTGAGAAACAGTTCCTGGCTGTCGGGAAAACCGGTTTCTCCGCTTGCTTGCTGTGAGCTATCTACAACCTCCTCCTCATCATCTTCTTCGTCCCCAAAACCTACTTCTGTATTGCCTCCATCTCCATTGAAGGAGTCAAACAACACGGCTGGGGTAGTGGTGGCTGAACCCCCTAAAATGGCATGCAGCTCATCATAGAAGCGGCATGTTTGGGGCTCTGACCCAGAGCGGCCGTTCGCCTCTCTGGTTTTCTGGTAGGCTTGCCTCAGCTCCTTCAGTTTCACGCGGCACTGCTTCGGGTCCCTGTTATGGCCTCTGTCCTTCATGCCCTGGGAGATTTTCAGAAAGGTTTTGGCATTTCGAAAACTGGAACGGAGTTCTGATAGCACGGATTCCTCTCCCCAAACAGCGATCAGATCCCGTACCTCCCGTTCAGTCCATGCTGGAGCTCTTTTGCGATTCTGGGACTCCATCATGGTCACCTCTGCTGATGAGCTCTGCATGGTCACCTGCAGCTTGCCACGCTGGCCAAACAGGAAATGAGATTCAAAAGTTCGCGGTTCTTTTCCTGTCTACCTGGCCAGTGCATCTGAGTTGAGAGCGCTGTCCAGAGCGGTCAGAATGGAGCACTCTGGGATAGCTCCCGGAGGCCAATACCATCGAATTGTGTCCACAGTACCCCAAATTCGAGCCGGCAACGTCGATTTAAGCGCTAATCCACTTGTCAGGGGTGGAGTAAGGAAATCGATTTTAAGAGCCCTTTAAGTCGAAATAAAGGGCTTCATTGTGTGGACGGGTGCAGGTTTAAATCGATTTAACGCTGCTAAATTCGACCTAAAGTCCTAGTGTAGACCAGGGCTAAGGTGCCACAAGTCCTCCTTTTCTTTTTCCTGAAGTCAGTGGGGCTCCATGTGGGCCCAGGTCTCTGCCTGCTCAGACTAACTGACTGAATCAGGGTCTAAATGAATAAGTCAGGTAATGAGAATGTAATAAGTCAGGTAATGATTCTCACAGCAGCTGCAACTCAGCCTATTTGCACATGGCTAAAGCATACCTTTAACATCATGACCAGTAATATTACAAATGAAAAAGAGAAATAAGTTACAGTTGCTGTGGGAACCATTACTCAGTGCTTTCATTTCACTTTTGCCATGAGTAGATCTTCCCGCCTCTACACTTTCAAATGGGGGTGGGGGTAATACCTGTTGGGAGGAGGTTTTAATTCTGAGTTTCTTCAGCATGTCAAATTTACTTTCTTCATTCATTAAACTTGCCATCAAAAGAAACAGACACATAATCTCCACCCTTACATTAAGCATTTTTTTTTCCTTTGTGGGTCTTCTAATCTTCACCAACTTCCTCGGAAACTATAGATGCCCTCCCAGCCTTTCTGTTTCTGGGATTTTATTTGTGGTTTTCTCCTTCCTCCTTTGCCTCCTCTCCCCCTCCTCAATCCCATCTGTGCTGTTGCTCCCATCCACAGCTTTTGCTTAGAGCAACACAGCCAGCCTGAAACTGATGCAAGCCTAGTCAGTTTCACTGTCTTGGCATGATGAAAGCACTGTAGGCAGATCTTACAAAATGCACTCAACCAATTACCAGCAGTGCATAAGTAGGGTGACCAGATAGCATCTGTGAAAAAACGGGACAGGGCATTCAGGGTAATAAGTGCCTATATAAGAAAAAGTCCCAAAAAACAGGACCGTCCCTTTAAAAACGGGACATCTGATCACCCTATGCGAAAGGAACTGGCCCATAGTTTAAACTTGTGTGTGTGTCTCTCACATTTTCAACAGTGGCTAGTAATTTTGAGTGACTCCATTTCTGGGCACCCAATTTGTGACACGTTTTCAGAAGTACTGTGTAACAAGCTGGGTGTGTTTGACTGAAACCAAACCAAACCAAGCAGATGATGATCTAGTGGGGAAAATGTTATGCTTGTTTTGCTGAACTCCCTGTTGCAGACCTTTCGCTAACTCAATCAGGTGTTAAGGAGAGAGGAGTGACGCTCTAGAGATGACGTGGGCTATGCAGTCTTTGGACAGGAACTTGGGGAGCAGCCACGCCTGCTGAAAAGGCTTTTGCTGGATTTTATGTTTCAGCAGGAATTATTTTAGTGAATAAAACCAAACTGCAGGAAGATGTTCCAAATGCTATGGTCAATGGCACCCCATGCAACCTCACTAGAAATGAAAGGAATTGCAAAGGGTGTAAGTCAGCACAGAATTCGGCCATATGGAAGGAGGCCAAATTCTGCCCTTGGATGCACACACAGAGCTTACTTTGAAGTTAATTGGAGGCTCTGGTGTAGTTGCAGAACAAGCATTTGGTCTGTGTAATTTGCCAGCTACTACCATTTTAGCACAGTAGTAGTTCTCATTTCTGATCAAGCATAAGGACACACTTTAACTCCTCATTATCTCCCAGTTCATAATGATAATAGCAAAGGTACCAAACACAAGCAAATAGTCATGCAGAATCTTCATATTACTGGGTTGTTGTTTTTTTCTCTCCTCACCCCTTATTTTTTCAATGGCGCATTCAAATAAATAAATCATAATTCTGTTAAAATGTTCTGAAAAAATGCTAACTCTCAAAAACTATTCAGCAACAGCAGACAACCTCAAATCCTAACAGCTGCTGAAATGTCCCTCTTTAATCGATAAAGTTTCTTGCAGGCTTTTCCGCATTTTTTAAATTCACATTTTGGGTGATTTAACAGATCATCCTCTTTTAAAAAAAATAATAATAATAATTCTCAAACAGAAACTTGAAATGACCCCTTCATGCTGATACCACACATCCACCCAGCTGCACGGAGACCCGCACACAGGCAGACGCACAGAGCAACTTCCTCATTCCTGGTGGGGAAGGAGGGGGACGACCATCACAACCGTTGTCTTGGGCTGGAGGCCCCAAACCCAGGCGCCCTCCTGCAGCTGCCACGGTGGAAGCAGCCCCGGGCATTCCTGCGATTGCTCACTATCCACACAATGCAGAGCGATCCCTACTTCCCCTCTGGCTTCCAGGGCGGGAGGGAAAGGAGGCGACGGGCCAGCAGCAGGGAGGAGTGACCTGCAGCTAGGTACCAGCCATGCGATTTCTGGGGGGAGGGCTTCAAACACTGGCTTGACCCCCACCGCGCGCGGTGCAGGGAAAGCCCAGGGCCCTGCTGCCCCTTACCCTAGGCTCTGCAGCTCCTCTAGCACGTCCCCTTCTTGCTCCGCGGGGAGGACCCCCGTGCCTCGGCTCATCTTCGCGCCTCCTCGCGGCTCTGCTTTGCCCATCCGCACCACCTGCGGCTCGCGCCCCGCCGCGCGCGGGGACGGGCAGGCAGAGAGAGGGGGCTCCCTGCCCCGGCTCCCGCTCAGCGGCCGCGGAGGAGGCGCTCCGCACGAGCAGCAGCCCGCTGCTGCTGCTGCTGCATGGCAAGCGAGCCCAATGAGGAAGTGAGAGCGGGTCCCTCCCTGCACCTAACCACCCTGCCCGAGGCGCCGGCAGGGAAGGGAAGAGCTGGCCCCCGGGGAACGCAGCCGGCGCGCGCGGCATTGTGTGGAAGGTGCGTGTGGCTCGAGCTGAGAGGAGGAGGAGGAGGAGGAGGAGGAAGGCTTGTGGCTAGGGACCAAGCCTCGGCAATTCCCCGCCTCCAAACAACCTTTTCTCTGCCTCCTCATCTTCTGTGACACCGCCCTGTTGGAGACCTGTAGTGGCTTCCCTGTCTCACTCCAGGACCTGAGTAAGCCAGGGGTAGGCAACCTAGGGCACGCCAGCTGATTTTCAGTGGCGCTCACACTGCCGGGGTCCTGGCCACCGGTCCAGGGAGGGGGCTCTGCATTTTAATTTAATTTTAAATGAAGCTTCTTAAACACCTTTAAAAACCTCATTTACTCTACATACAACAATAGTTCCATTATATATTATCGACTTATAGAAAGAGACCGTCTACAAACGGTAAAATGCAGTACTGGCAGGCGAAACCTTCAGTTAGAGTGAATAGATGAAGACTCGGCACACCACTTCTGAAAGGTTGCTGACCCCTGGAGGGTTCTGGGTTTCCAGTGATGCCATGGAGCTGGGCCCACGCTCAGAAGGGGCCCCGGCCCGCTCCATTTGCTGGCTTCTTCCCTCCTCCGACCCCCCCCCCCCCTTGTTCCTCTTGACCTGCAGGGTTGTGTAGGGCGCTCTGCATTTGTGGGGGGATTTTGGGGAGGCTCTGGCCATAGGGAGTCGGGGGAGCTCCCAAAGCGACTGTGCCTCAGCAACACAATCCTTCCATGAATGACAAGTGTGCAGGGGATGTATGCAGGCTGCATTATCCTTGACAATGGTTCAGCTTGATAACCTGCACCTGACACACTCTAGCTGCTTATTAGGGAATTAGGGGAATTGGAACATGTAATTCACCACCAATGTGGCACCCTGGGGATAATGCCAGCCATCATGTCACTCAGAGCTTGGGTGTATGATGTGGTGTTAAAAACACCTGAGGCCTCTGTATGCTACATCTTCTACTGTTACTATCACCCGTGGAGAATGGGCGACAGGAGACTTGATGATTACCTGTTCCGTTCTTTCCCTCTGGGCCACCTGGCATTGGCCACTGTCGGAAGACAGGATACTGGCTAGATGGACCTTTGGTCTGACCCAGTATGGCTATTCTTATGTAGCTGTTCCAGTGGTGAATTACAAGTTTAAATTTTCCTAAGTCCTATCAGGTGGTTGGGGGGGAGAGGTGGGAGATGGAAATAGTCTGGATTTATCTCCTCCTTCCTGCCCGTCATTACTGCTCCATTTGTGTGATGTGTATGTCCAGCGATGCACAAAGGGAGGAATCTTTTTTCCTGCTACTGCTACCTCCTTACCTTCCCCATTCATACCTATCAACAGTAGATCTTCTCAAGGCTATCCTGAAGTCTCTTCTCCACACACAATTCCACACCTACCTATTAGCAGATTTGTCTTGGGATTTATCCTCTGAAGTCTGCACAGAAAGGGGCAGGCCTGCTGACTGCCTCCTGAAGATGTCAGTGGCCTAGTGGGTTTAGTAGACTATCATGCCTCATCCATCTCAAGAAGATAATATCAAGTAGTGAGAGCCACAGTGTGAGGGGAGTTGTGTGAGGACTGAGCCTCACGGGATGCGGTTTTCATAGCTTCAGAAAAGTGTCAACTACCAGATATTTAATCAAGTCCCAGAATCTTTGACATTTCCCCATTGTTGGTGTTTATTCGTTTTGCAAAGCTGTTGTTAGTTTTGGTGGATGTTCTTATGATTTTTACAATGTAGTGGCTGCATTTTGTGCATCTTTTTATATGTGTTTAAGGTAATGTTTCTGCTGAATTTTCTGGGTATGTATTTTTTCATTGCTTTTTAAACTGTTTTTATTCATGAGTTTATTTTATACACTTTGATTATGCAAATGCTGGCAAATTCTTGTCTTTGTTAAGCCACTTTGTTAATGTGAAAATGTTTCAATGAACCTGTTATATTCATAAAAAGAAAAGGAGTACTTGTGGCACCTTAGAGACTAACCAATTTATTTGAGCATGAGCTTTCGTGAGCTACAGCTCACTTCATCAGATGTAGCTCACGAAAGCTCATGCTCAAATAAATTGGTTAGTCTCTAAGGTGCCACAAGTACTCCTTTTCTTTTTGCGAATACAGACTAACACGGCTGTTCCTCTGAAACCTGTTATATTCATGATATAGAAACAGAGAAAATAGCAAAAAGCATAAAATACTCTTTCTGGGAGGCTGAATTGCAATAGTACTTTATTTCTTAAAATACAGAACTTTTACATAAAAGAATCAAAAACATAGAGAGAGAAAGCAGGCTGCTTCTTAAGGCAGAGAGGCATAACTCAATCCACCTTGCTGCAGGCTGGCTCCTTGCAAACTGACTGCTGATAGACTCTGATTGTACCCTTCTCTACAGAGCCCCTTAGCCTACAAGCAGGACTAGGAAACCCCTAGAGAATTTTAAGTGATAGTTTACAAATTTAACACAGATTTCAAATGCATGACTGAACCAAAAATTGCTTGTAGCAAATACTTTAATGTAATACACTCAGTCTGAAATTTGCACCTTATGCCCATTGTTGAGTGAGCGGTGTATACTTAAAGGAGTGAACAGAACTGATATGTACTTTTCTGATATACACAGTAATGTGAATAACACATGCTGTTATTGTGTATTGGTCAAACATGAAAGGTTGGCAAGAATAGCCTGGTGCCCTGCTAATTAAAGATTCATAGATTATAGGCCACAAGGGACCGCTGTGATCATCTAGTGTAACCTCCTGTATAACACAGGCCAGAGAACGTCTCTGAATTAAATTCTAGAGCAGATCTTTCAGAAAAACATCCAATCTTGATTTTAAAAGTGAATCTATTAATATTATGTTACATATAACCAAAAATTCAAAATAGATTCAGGCACAAGCCTCCAATAGTTGGATATCCCGCTCAGAATCCCATTTTATTTAGAGGATTATCCCTTGGAAAAAAAATATGTCATGTTGACAACTAAGCACATTTACAGATTCAGTGATTCTAGAGCACCACACTTCCTTCCTCTTTCTTCTCCCCACACCAGACTCAAACAGTTCCCAAACTCATGAATTTACCAGTGTATCCTGGTTAAACTCACCAGACCTTTGTATTTTTGAGTGGCGGTTCTGCAGAGCCCCACTCTGTGTCCTATCATTAGACTGCCTTGCTCATTTGTTGATTTGGGACTTTATCCTTACATCTTCTGTCAACCTTCCTTTCATTTCACATCAGGGCTTGCTTTGCCATTTAAAGAAGCTGTACATTAAAGATATGCAAATATCCTCCTAACGGTTGCTGTTTGCTTGTGAAAGCAAAATATCATGTGTTTGTAAAGGTCATGCTCTTTGTCTTGGCACTGATTTCTCAAAAATAAAATATGCACTAAAATGAAACTAGTCTAGAACAATTTATTTGATTTGCAATGAAGGCCTACTTCTTTGTTGCTCTTTGTGTTACAGATTAAACAATTTAGAAGGAAAGAACTTTCGTGAACTCAGTGATGGCTAATGCTCTGTAAGATTTTCCACAGGTTAGGCAGGAATTGTTTGCTAGTTGCTCCTCTAACTCTTGCTTTCTCTGCCTGCAATGTGCCACCTTCTCTCCTTGACTATACATCTCACATCAAAACAAATTCTGCCCCAGATACCATTTTGGCTGGTTCAAATGAGCTTGCTTGTTAGCTTCCCACAGGTTGCTATTGGTCATAGTGGGAGAGGCTTTTTCCCAGTGCATCTTTGTAGCTTTTTTATCCATTAAAAAGTTCACTAGATAACATTTCTTTTGGGAGCCTGGAACTGTAATCCATACATTTCTTTCAGGCAATCATAGATATTTTTGACATCTCCATTGTCCTTTTGAGCTTGATTTTTTTTTCTTTCCTATCCTACCAGCTGCCTTGCTTCTATCAAAGTTTGCAGAGATGGTTGAAATGACCTTTTTATTTATTTTCTTTTTTTTTCTCCATGTCTGGGTTATCTCATTGTGAGAAAAAGAAAGGTGCAAATCAAAATTTCTCTTTATTTGAAAAAAGACTAAAAGAAGAAATTTAATAAAATCCAAACAACAAACCATCACAAGCCTTTTTAAGGGCTTTACCAACTGCGTCACAAATCAGCATAAAAGCTCATAGCTTGAGACAGGCTTTTATAAGCTCTTGTGTTCTCTGCAGCATTGCATCTTGGTAGGTGAATGTTACCTAGCTGTCAAGCTCAGCTCATTTTAGAGAAGTTGCTTCCTCCTACTTGGCATGTGAATTTCTCTTCATACAGAAAAAAACCAACAAACTTGCATATTGTGCCTATTGATTGTCACTCTAATCAGCTACATCTAATAATTCTTAAAATCACATTCTTCACTTGAACCAATTACAGACACACTGGGAACAGAAAGGCCATGTGACTGCTAAACTACATTTCCCAGAATACCACAGGCTCTAGGGTCAGGGTTCATTCCTCATGCCCAGGTACAAAAGCTGCTGCCACAGAGTAATTAGTTCATGGAGGAGACTGGTAGGAAACAGCAATGTTCCAGCTCACTGGTCATCCTGAAGCATAGTCAAATGTATAAACATCATCAACAGAAACAACACAATAAGGTACTGTTTTGATGATGAAGGCATAGTTTGGTTGCATCCCTCCTCTTTCCCCTGTCCACGCTATATGCTCAGCTTCATAAGTGTTTCATTTTCCTCAGAAATGATCCCTTAAATGATCCCCCCTTTGATACTCAGATAGCCATGGAAATTATAGGTTTAAACACTTTCCCCTGCCCCCCAACAATCTCTGTCTCAGGGTAATACTTGCAAATTTTACATTCATCTCACAAGAAAAACAAAACTTAAAGTCTGCTGGCCTGCAAACTGTGGGGAGGGAGAAGTAGTAGCAGTACCCTTTGTTTCCTGTCTTAAGTATTTTTATTGCCATTCCATGCAGTAGCAAGGCACCCTAATTATGGCAAGGCTTTAAATCCCAATAGATACTCTCTA